GACTAATGCTACCTTGGTGTTCTCCAGATACTGATGGAAGATTTCCAAGTATTGTCGCTTGTACATCATTTGTACAGTCACTCTTGATCGGCGTTTTGGCTTCCAATTTGAAGAGAGATTGTTGTAAAAGTCATTCTACCTACCTATCTAACGTTTAGATAATCCGTACCAGCGACCCGAATTTCACAGCATTCTAGCTTCCCTGCCCAATTTGCACCATGTTGCAACTCTTAACAGGTGGTACATAGGTAGTACTGTAGGAGTCATATAATTGAATCTAAGCCTCTATCACGCAACCCACTCATTCCCAACTCGCACCTTTGAAGCCTTTTATACGTGGTTGATGACATTTTACCCCTGAGTTTCGGGTACACTATGAAGCCACAGGCATTACACAGCACGTTACCTGGTTGCATGTACTGCTTATGTACACAGTATTATGTATTCCAGTTCTCTAAATCAGTGAGCTGAACGTGTCAGGCCCATATTAAATCAGCCACCGGTGATCCCTACCATCAGAGCCCATTTAGTTTATATCCCTACTTGTTGTCGTGTCTCACTTCTATTTTCGGACTCTTGCTCTTGTTGGGGTTCACCAACTAAACTTAAGGCTTTCTGTGAACAAACACTATTGCGTCAATTAGACACATGATGGTAAGTAAATTTCTGTAGAAAGAAAGGAGAACGAATATCTACCTGCACAATAGTTTCTCAGCGAGATCTACCTATTCGAGCGCTAATGAGTGAATACTAATGTCCTAGATAGGTAGTTGACGATGACTATCGTATGGAGCCCCGACCCGACACCTACCTAGTAGGTATCAAGAAACGAGAACTAACTATCGCTTCCGTAACTCAGTATTGAGTGAAAGTCCGAGCTTCGATTTTTACAGTTGAAATATACCCGATCGAGTTTTTAAGTTTTTAACAACAGTTTGGATGGATTTACTATCATTTTGATTCTTCATCCGAAGAGATGAAGTGAGATCAAAATCCTCAACTTTAGGATTAAGAACACGTTTCAACCACCTGGATCTACAGAGACATTGCTGATCCTCTTCAGAAATTCGAATATTCATCCTACGCCGGCTTGAAATTATTGAGTCGAGACACTCATGCAGTAGAGTTCTTGTTCACTCACTCACTCCAACCGTCCCCAACCGTGGGTCGGATTCCGCCACAGGCATCTTCTGAGAATGGCTGCTGGTAATCTGTTCAACAACGGGACAACTCAGAGTATTGGAGCAATTGCTATGCGCAGAAACAATAATGGCAAAATGAACAGTCCAGTTGATGGAAGCCTTGAGCTTTCTGACTGGGGACAGCCAAGCATACAGAATCTCGCCGACTACGAAGAGCCAGAAGAGAACGAACGTTTGCTGGACCCTAGCTTTCCCGACGACGATGGTATAGACTTACATCATATCGGTACGGGACGAGCTGCTTCGATTGACAGCGAGGCCGCCTCAAAACCCAATGAGGAAGACTCTCCATATGAAGAAGTACGCGCTGCCGTGCGCAACTTCGACCAGGACTTGCCATGTAGTACTATCCGAGCCTGGACCATTGGACTGTCTTTGACCTTAGTCGGCGCTACGTTCAACACCATTTTCTCGCTCCGTGCCCCGTCAATCGGGATTGGACCGCTCATTGCTCAGATAGTTGCTTGGGTCATGGGGCGAATGTGGGAGAGAGTAGTACCGAACAAGCAGCTGACTCTCTTTGGAGTAACGTGTGAGCTGAATCCTGGCCCGTTCAACATGAAGGAACATGCGATCATCGTGGTCATGGCCAGTGTGTCGTTCTCAGTGGCATATGCTACCGACATTATCTTGGCACAGCTCGTGTTCTACAAGCAGAATTTCGGCATCATCTTCCAACTTCTCATCGTCGTTTCGACTCAGTCTCTTGGATATGGAATTGCCGGGATCCTGCGGAAGTTTCTTGGTGAGTTTAAACTGAATCATGGACAGGATTGTCAGATTTTATTGACATCTTGTAGTATACCCAGCCTCGATGATATGGCCAAGCACGTGAGTAATACTATTATTAATACCAGCATCTCCAACCTCTTTTCGTAAGGAAAGCTACCCAGGTTTCATCCACGCGCTTCTATCTCTCGACATTCTCTGGGTGCCAATCGCCTGAATCTTAACTGACTATCGCAGGTTGGTGTCTATCACGTTGATGAACGCCATGTACGAAACCCATAACACCAAAGACCCGACGATTATCGGAGGAAACATGTCGCGATACAGGTGGTTTGGTCTCGTTACAATCGTATCGTGTGTCTACTACTTCATTCCCGGGTTCCTAGCTCAGTTCTTGAGTGTAACCGCCGTCGCAACATGGTTGGCGCCACAGAACGTGTTTGTGAATCAGATGTTCGGGGGCATTACCGGACTATCCATCATCCCCATCACATTTGACTGGACCCAAGTAGCTGGCTACATTGGTTCACCATTGATTCCTCCATGGTTAGAATATCTCTGTGTTATTCCCATAGGTCATTTGCTAACGTGACCAGGCACGCGATCGCGAATACACTGATTGGTGTTGTGGGATTTTACATCATCTTTGCTTCGTTCTTTCATTACACAGGCGCCTGGTACTCACAGTTCTTACCCATGAGCGATGCGTCGACCTATGACAATACGGGGGCTAACTATGATGTTCCGCGTATCTTAACGACGGATTTCACTTTGGATGAGGCGGCTTATCAAGCCTACTCTCCTTTATTTATTAGGCATGTTGCCCGATGATGCCGATATGGTGCACATTTGCTGACCGGATATACGGGTAGTACTACTTTTGCTATATCATATGGTCTTTCTTTCGCTGCTATAACTGCTCTGGTCGTCCACACATTTCTGTACTACAGGAATACTATCTGGGCGCAATACCAAAACAGCACACATGAGAAGCCCGACATTCACATGAAACTCATGCGGAAGTATAAGGAGGCGCCTTCGTGGTGGTATACATCTCTCTTCGTGGGGGTATGTTTCCCAGCCAGCAGATCTTCTCATAGTAGCTGATTATCTCCAGGTTCTAGCGTTGAGTCTGTTTGCTATACTTTACTATCCTACCAACTTAACAGTAAGTCATGCTTGGTGCGGTCTCTTCATGCTTTCATCGCGATATGGGCTTCTGTTTGGGTTGGGTCATGTCCCGGAAACAATACCTTCCACCATTTACAGACTACATTCGAGATGGATGTCGCTAACCTCAATAATTTACAGTGGTGGGCTTTTCTACTCGCAGTAGCGATCGCATTCGCGTTCGCTCTTCCAATCGGCATCGTGGAAGCAGTCACGAGTCAGGAGATCGGGCTGAACGTCTTAACCGAGTTTATCTACGGCTACATACAACCCGGTAGACCGTTAGCTTTGATGCTGTAAGCCCTCTTGTATCTACCCACCAATATAACATCTCCTCCGATACTGACGCCTCGTCTCGTCCGTAGATTCAAAACATACGGCTATATCACAATGTAAGCAGCACATGCCTCCTTTTCTCGCTCACCCTCCCGCTCACAGTGTTATATAGGTCACGAGCTCTCAGTTTCATAGCAGATCTCAAATTCGGACACTACATGAAGATCCCGCCACGAACGATGTTCATGGCACAAGTCGTCGCAACAACCCTATCTTGCTTCATCCAAGTCATCGTCCTCAACTTCGCCCTCGAAAACATCGACGGCGTCTGCGACGTAACCCAACCCCAACGCTTCACCTGTCCCGGCGGTCGCGTCTTCTTCTCCGCTTCCGTAATCTGGGGCCTCATCGGGCCAGCTCGCGTCTTCTCACCGGGACAGATCTACTCCAGCCTGCTCCTCTTCTTCATCCTCGGCGCTATCACCCCCGTGCTCATATACTACGCCGCAAAGCGCTACCCGCGCTCACCAGTGAAGCATCTAATGGCACCCCTCATTTTCGGCGGCGCGGGCCAGATCCCACCTGCCACGCCGCTCAATTACCTCACATGGGGCATTGTCGGGTACGTCTTCCAGGTGGTCATCAGGAGAAGACATTCCAGGTGGTGGAGCCGACTTAACTACCTCACGTCTGCTGGGCTCGATCTCGGCCTCGCGCTCGGGACGATCATCATATTCGTCGCGTTCACGCTGCGGAATATCGAGGCGCCAAAATGGTGGGGGAACACCGTTGTCACGACGACGCTCGACTACCAGGGAAAGGCGGTGCAGACCGTGTTGGCGGCAGGCGAGACTTTTGGGCCGGAGACTTGGTAGGCGTGGATGGAGCTGGTTGGCTTAAGGATATTGTACATGTATTAGGTTCTAATTTGAGGTGGTGGTAGTCACGAGATCTGACTGTTCGGATTACGAATACTTTTGACTCCTTCTCTGAGCCCAAGATCAATTGATTAATTCATTCACGTGCTTCGTTCCGATTCATTAGATGGGATCTGCGCTGTCAACCAGCGCGAAATACAATGCGCGGTGAGTCGGTCAGGCACAGCGGTGTAGGAGGGTGTCGACAGACAGCAAGCGACGACATAGTAAATGTCATTATAGGTAGAAAGGACCTGCGCAGCGAAAAATGCATCGCAAACTCATCGCGCAGATGAGCAGTCATATTTCTCCTACGTATACATAACATAGTACGTACGTACTGCACACGTGTAGAGATCCCGAGACAATTCCAACAGTCAGGCTTTTTATCTTCTGACTGTCAATTGATCCCTAGTAGTTACTACTACCTAACCGTGCACTTCATACTATGTGAGTACTGCGTATGTTTCCGCGCACAAACAAATCATAATCAATCACAATCACCATCACGAACTACAATCTAAAGCCACACTAGATAGTAAAATAGTAAAATAAACGCCCCATAAACATTGCCGAAGATTCTCAATCCGAATGTATAACCAACGCATTAAAATTGCAGCCCTGGTTCCGCAACCCACTAACTATCCTAAACCCAGTCCTGAAATGCCATATATATTATCAATTACGGGTCCCGACACACAAGAAGTCCTCCGTGGCGCAATTGGCTAGCGCGTTCGACTGTTACTAGTTCATCAGAACCGGGCGATCGAGAGGTTGACAGTTCAAGCCTGTCCGGGGGAGATTCGCATAAGCGCAACTTTTTCGTAGTTTTTTTTACTATTATTTCCTTTTTTTATTTTTTTATTAATTCTTCTTGAAGTCTTCTTCGTATTTCTGCTTTTACCTTGTACACTGTGGTGGTCTTATCAGGAATGATGCATCTTGATTTTTTTTTTTTTTTTTTACTTGCGCTGAGCTTTCTTCCACAGGTAATGAGGCATATCCAACCTAGAAATGCAGGCGCACAATTAGGAATTGTTATACACGCGAGGGGCGAATGAAATGACATTAGAGACCCTGGAGGAATTCATGCTGTGTCCCACCATACCCTAACCCATATCCGATCTTGACCGGACCAAATACCAACCGTCTCAAGACCGGGCCGCCTGTAAAACAGGGCAATTCATACACTTCCCAAACTTTCCGTCGAAGTTTGAATACAGCTGCTGACAGATAAATGCTGCATCTGGATAATGGATGAATAACGTGACCCAAGAGCGATAACAACGCAGAGGTCAAAGCCGGAAACTAATCCATGTCGCGCAACCGTTCCGTATCGATATATTCGCACCATGAAACATACTTTGTGGATATTAATTCGGCGCAGGCTGAACGCGCCCATCCTCGGGATTTACCTATCGCTTCGACATATGCCAGGTGAGATTTTGCGGGTTGATACCTCGTAACCTCGCCGCAAGCGGACCGTCGGCTATGTCTCCATAGAACTTGAGATCCGAAACAATCGCAGCATCTCAAAACTGCGCCAATCTTGATAACAAATTCTCGATCTGTCCAGGCAAGTTTTACACCATCACGGAATCAAAGAGACAACCGCCAAGGTATCACCATAACACGTACCAAGATGCTGCGCCGTCTGATGAGAGTGACACCCTCAGCTTTCGTCCATCGGACTCGGTCCTCAGCTGGATCTTGCTCAAGGACCAGAACCAGGAGATGACGGTGGATTTCAGGTTCGCCCTGCAACCGCCTACGTTTGAAACCACTCTCCATATGGCGGCGACGAAAGATTGCTTACTCATTAAGCATGTTCTGGACTGGCGCCGACTATACCAGGGTTGGTACAGCGTCAATTTCTCCCAAAACAGATACAGCTTGCTCCTCGCTTTATCTATTTGCCTACGGTTGGAGTTGGAGGATCTGTCACGCCTGAAATTCGTATATCTTCCCCTTAAGCGCAACAGAGGCATGGGCACACTGTTGTTTTGCAATGGCGGGTTTCCTAGGAACGTGCTCCAACCTGCGTGGTCGGGAAGCTAGCTGACGGTAAATAGCCTTGAAGAACCCATAATAGTATGCTCGTACCAAGTACGACCAGTGCGCCTATCATGGAAACTTTTGGAGAGGCTAGACTGTTTTTAAAGTCAATTTTCAGATTCTATAATACAGATTCATCATGGGACAGGAGAGGTAAAGGATGCGGCGCCAGTATCGAGAATGGCTTACATCTGCTGTCCCGCTCGTCCACACTGCCGAATAATGAAGTCACTTATCCAGCTGACATAGAGTGTACGGAGTATGACGCCAAGCCAGCCACCTTTCTCCCTTCTCTCGACAGGGTGTACAGAAGGAGGCTCACAATCTGAGGACTTCTGCGAGTCTAATTGTTCAGTCGGTTCACTGGCCTTCAAGGAGTCTGATTCATTACCGGCGTCTTCTTCCGTCACAATCACGTGATTTGTTTTTATTTCATCAATGTCGCTCTCGTTATGTGGTTCGTCATCGGCTGTCTTCATATGAACGGCCTCATGGGTGCTCTTACGAGATGCGATACTCATAGCAATTCCCTCGTCTTCATCGCTACCGAGTGACGCCATGGAGAGATTATATTTATGAGCAGGGCCAACGAACTCAGCCGGCGCCTTAGCGTTTTTGGTACGGTCACGCGTATCATCGTCATTGAGAGACTCGTCCCCCTCCATGATTGAATCCAGTGAATACCTGGAAGTTACAATGTCTGTGGGCTGGTGACTCGTATCTATCGGTTGCTTGTGTGAGATGTTCATCTCTCCTTCATCAAAAGAAACTCCTTGCCGTGAGAGACCATTCGGATCGGAATGATCTGGTGCGATGATTGGCGATAACTGACTCGTCTTTACTACCTTGTCGTCGGCGTCCACTGTACTGGATAATCGACGCATAGTAGCCATGATAGAGTCGCGATCTGACGGAAAATGTTCTAGTCGGGGATCGTCGTAATCTCTAATCGAAAGACCATCATCCGTTGAAGAATGATCATCAATATCTTGTGGGGATTGCATTGTCTCGTCACCAATCGCCAGCTTGTCGGATGTGGGAGCAAAACATTCGTGGCTAAACATGGGAAGATTGTTGCCATCACTACCAAGCCCGAGGTCCTCGCTATCAGTTTGAAAGGGAGATTCGGCTACTTGAGTAGTAGCACTTGTGACTTCTTCAATGGCCGCGGGGGAGCCCAATTCGGTCTTCTCTGCGATCTCTTCGAACGATTCATCGTTTGCCGCGATAGCACCAGTAGTAGCTGGGGACTTAGCTGTAGCCACTGTAGCCACAGATATATCAGTGCCATTAGAGGGAGCAATTGCACTGCTAGTTTCCTCTTCTTGAGAATTGGCGATATGGTTACATTGTGTGTGCGATATCGATTGGGCGACATTTTCTGCTGGGGTACGTAATAGGCTATTCACGTTGCCGTGCTCATCCGTCACTGATGAAGATCAATAACAAGCCAAACGGGAAAATTCTCCGACGGAAATCTCCGAACAGAAAGTGAATGGACATCAAGCGTCTCACCTGTTTCAGCATTGGGGTCTAAAGGCCACCAGTCGCCAGATCCATGTCGGAATTTGTAGTGGAACTCAGAACTCTCGTCCGCCATGATCTGTTTGGAGAAGGTATATTCTCCAAGTTCGTCCAAAACAGCGTCCATCTCGATAAATTCCCACGGGGGTTCTGAGAATGACCCGGCGACGAAGAGCGGAGGTTGAACGCCGCATTGATGGAAGGTGAAGGTCACTGGTACTTTGCCGCGAGGAGACATATTCGTAGGAAAATGAATTGGTCTTTTTTTCTTTTTTTCCACTCTTATAATCAATTGCTATGAGAGACCAGCCAATATGTCCGAGGAGTGAATTTTCTGCTTCCAGAGGTCGAGTGTCGGGAATTGTGTTGTTGATGAAATTCGCTTTGCGACAGACAAGACTCATATCACAATCAAATGGGTGATGAGCTGGGGCGGTCGGATTTTCAAGAAGTCTTTTTTACACAAAAATACATACAAGGCATACCTAATAATTGCTGCTATACAGAATGAGGAATATCGAAGATGACGTGGACGTGTTTAATTGGTTTTCAAAGGAGCAGGTAAATTAGGTGGTGACCAAAGACGAGGAGGCGATTGGGACCCAGGACCTCAAGCAACCAAGCATTTGATATTTCGTTCTGCTACGGATTATTATTTTCTTCTATACGTACTTACGCAGTACGTAATGCACATGACAGTACCTAACCCTCGATGCAGCTACTGTGGGCGGGCAGGCACAGAGGAGCGTCTAGGCGCTTGCCTGCATGACTTGTGGTGATGTCATTGGTGGCAGCGCCTTCCAAGTTCGCTACCCTGGTCTGGAACCTTTCGACGCCTTACCAAGGTAGGTATTTAGTGGGTGCCTCAGCGATACGAACTCAGGGAGGTGGTTTTTCCGTACAGTAATATACAGTAGTAATTACACTGTTCAGTTACTGAGCGGAGTTGTGTTTTGTTTTATAATTACTGACGTAGAACAGGTTCAAAATCGAAATACGGATTGTGGCTGTAGGTAGAATTGAATTGTCTGAGTTGTCCCAGGAGTGATAGGTAGGTAGGTAGGTATCGCCAAAGCAGGTACCTACCTACTACCTACGGACTATATCTATTCGATATTTTTTTAAAAGAAAATATGGACGTAGGTAATGGAACTTTTCCTGAGCCGCGCCGCTTGTAGGCTACCTAACCTGATTCAAGTTTTGTTGAGCCAAGCCTGCGCATTTCATGCAAGCTACCTAGTCCGTACCTAGCCTACGTATAGGTTACCAGGTAGGTACTAATGAAGAAGTGAAGGGTAAAGATGCCCTTCATAACTTTTCATACGCAGCACCGTCAGAAACGGATTCACATGAGCAAACGGTGAATAGGTACCTAGGTGAGTGATTCGTGGTACCTATCGTTCTCACAATAGGTACCTTAGATACCTATTCGTAGGTGTGTCTAGAATAATATCTGATTTTCTCGTGAACTCAGCATTGGTTATTGAGGTTATCAATCTACCTATTCCGCACAATATCTGCCTACTGTAGGTACCTACTTTACAAGTAGACCGTATAGTCCGTACATACTTATGTACTCATACTAAGCGCGACACACCAACGCCATCACAATGAACGCGCAACAATTTCCAAATTTCGTGAGGGGAAGCGTTATGAAGGATTCTGACGCTTCACTAGCCCGTACGGACGTATATAGTGGGGCGTTATTCTATCCGGAGAATAGCCGACCAATCACGGCGCCTTTTTCTTATTTGCAAATGTACTTACCTAACGTCCTGCGGACCGATTAGCATGGCCGGGTTCACCGGGAAAGATGGCCGGGTTAACGGCAGCATGAAGATGCCGTTATACCTAGCAGGTACCGTAGTCCAGATGCGTACTAGGAATTTCCAGCCATGAGCTTTTTCGTATCCCATGCAGGCACCAAGAATTTTGTTTTGCTGTGCGAGCGCGCTATGCGTATGAAATACGTAAAAAAAAATAATCCTGTATGTACCGCAAAGCCCTGAGGGGAGGGAGCCGCATGCATGACCGGCTGTGTTGCTACCTACACTGCCTAGGTACGGAATAGAGGTAGGTATACGTAGGTAGGTAGGTAGTTTAACAAGAATGTGGGTGTTTTTATTCGAGACAGGTTAGGCTGAAGCACCGTTCGTCTTGGTAAAAGATGGCGTCCGGTCGAGCCGGGATGAATGAATATCTACCTAGTGTAGTGTAGGTAC